TTTTTTGCTTTTCATTAGTTACTTTTTATTTTAAAGAGAAAAAAGCTAACAACGAAACAGCATTTCAAAACAGGTTAGTAGGAGAGCAACAAAAACCAACACAGTGCATACTATCTTCAGAGTAGTTATTCAGAGTACAAGGCACAGGTATGATATCTTTTCCAAGCAATATTAGCACAGACCTTTCTTTTCAATGAACTAAGAGGAACTAACTGTATAACTATCTTAACTATCTTGTGTGTAAACATATTTTTTCCTTCCTTCCTCTTTCCTTTCCCCATCAGCTTATCTTTTCTTTTGGACAGTTTCCTGGAGAGCTTTTTGACATCTATACTTTATTTCTTCTGGACAGATGTTAGTCTAGACTTATAGCTGGGTGAGTGACTGGTCCCGGGAAATCTCATAGCGTTCCCCATCCTTGCTCTGTATTCTATAATCCCTACTCCACCACTCTTCTTTTGAGATAGCTACCAAAAGGGTGGGCACCAAATGCCCTCAGCTATGGCATCTCCTCTGTCCAGACAATGGAGTGCTGGCACAAAAGAGAGTGAATGAGGTGACGATGTCATGGGGCTTTTGGAAGGCCTTGTGGTCACAGGGTTGCTGGACTCATCCTACTCTGATATACTACATTGGGGAGCTCACAGCTGAATGTGCTGGAAGAGTGGGGAAAGATGAAGAAGGTGGGTCACCGGGGGTCTCTCTCTGCCTGGCTTCTCTCTCTCTGAGTCCTGGCTGCCATGGCTGGGCAACCTCCCCCTGTGGTGCCCTGCTGCCATGTCATTCCTGCCTTAGAACTAGGAGAACATGAGCTGCGGTCTCTGGATCAGCGAGTCAGATAAGCACCTCCAAGGCAGTTGCAGGGTCAGCAGTGCTAAAGCTGACTAATGCACAGAACTGCTTGAGGCAGGAGCTCTTTATCTTTATCTCTGATCAATGTAGAACCGGGCCTCTGGAGCGTTGCACTATTATTTTGAACTTCGTAATTTTTTTTTAACTAATTAATTAGTTTAAGGACATTTAGCAGTATCCTAGGCCCTCACCAACTAGATCCCAACAGCAGCTCCCCCCTTTTGTGACAATGGCCAATGTGCCCAGATAAAATAAGTACAATTACATTTTAAGTGACTATTAAAGGTAAGATACTAAAAAGAAGTCTCCAGATATCTCTAGAAACCCCCTGGGAGGGTACAATTGCTTTTGGTTGAAAGCCAATAATGTAGAGAACCCCAAGGCTCAGAAAGTACCGTGTCAATTTCCTTATCATATTTTTTTTTTTTTGCGGAACCAGGGATTGAACTCAGGCCCTTGTGCTTGCCAGGGAAGCACTTATTCCACTGAGCCATCTCCCCGGCCCCAATTTTAGTGTGATCAGAAATGCCATAAAGAGTTTGAGATCTTATTTTAAGTACGGTCTCAATAAGTAGACAGCATGGGCAGCAATGGTGAGAGACAGCGCAGTTGCCACGATGCCCACAGCCAGCGCTTGGTGAGGCTCGCTGGCACGTTCCTCATGGAATGCATCAGTCTTCCCAGTCACTCCGAGGAATCAGCGCTGCTCTTATTCTTCCCACCCTGCATGTGAGGAACCGAGCGAGACACGAGATCCTGAGGTCATCCAGCTCGTGGCAGAGTCATCCAGGGAGCACAGTTCCAGTGTCCGAGGGGCTCGAAAGGGCAAGACCTGTCCGTCCTGTATGTACTTCAGCATCCTTCACGAGACCAGTAGAGTACTGAGCACAGAGCTGCTTCTCATTAAACTTGTGCTGTCCGTATGGGCGGTGGTGTTCACAGGGGCACTCTGCTGCCAGATCTCTGCGTGGCTTGCCCGTCCATTTGCAGAGTCACGCTGCTCAAGCAGCCCTGCCTCAGTGAAGACGGCTCCTTCACTCCTTAGCCCCTCCCCCTGCTTTCACCCTACGGGAGCACTTAGCCTCTGACAGGTCTTTGTTTACTGTTTGTTCCGCTGTCTCTTGCATGGAGGGAGGAACTTTTGCCAGCTATGATTACTGCTGCACCCACCACACATAGAAAACCCCGTGGCAGTGGGCAAGTGCCCACTAAGTGAGTAGAATGCGGGAAGGTGCACTTTAGCTGGGTATTATATCTGGGCTCTGGTTATTGGTTCCTGCTGTTCCTCAGCACTGTGCTTAACACAGTGTTAAGGACCAGGGATGTTTATGCAATAGAGAGTGTCGGGCGCCCTCCCGTCCAGCAGGAAAGCACTCAACACGATTTGTGCAGCGGAAAGCTTTAATCGTTCTCCTGAGTGGTACGCCCCGAGAGAGCACAGTTCCTCTCTCCGTCCCTTTCCCTTTCTCCTCCCCCTCTCTCACGGGGCGTCTCTTTTATATCACCATGCCATCCAATCGAGGGTTAACACGTATTGCAATATCATTGGTTAC